TGTATTCTCATGAGGACAGGGCCCCAGCCTAGATCTTTTTTTTTTTTTTTTTGATGTGTCCCCCTTTCCCACGTGATGATGCCATATTTCCAGCAAAAGTTTTCTCACCTTCAGTTTCTATTTCTCAGGGACAGAATTTTGTGTTCCCAGATCAGACTCTAGGACAGGTCACTGGCACCTGCTACTGATGCATCCTCATGTTAACTACACACCTGCCTGTACCGGCCCTCTGTGTATGTCTCCCCTCATGGTCCTTCGTGGTTCTCGTGGGCATCCTTCATCACTAGGTTGGTGAACTCATTCTGAAAACCCTTCTATCCTGCTATTTTCCTACTTGTAGATGGACTTCTAGACCCTGGAATAAATTGATTTTCTTTTTATCTCCAATTTTAACACGTACTTTATATTAAGTTTTCTGTTTTGGTCTTTAACCGGATCTATACGTTTCCTCAAATATACTCTCTTCTGGTCTTGACCATCTGTCTGTGTCCCTGGAACCTAGTTCTGGGAGCGATGTTTACTTCAAATCATGAAGGAAAAGCAGTGTATGAATAGAGTTGTGACTCATCATATTCCTCAGGGCAGGATGATGTACTTTCTACTTTGGACACAATGGCTAGCACTGGCTTATTTTGTTTCATTTCAAGCATCTCTGGGGGCAATATGCTACAGAAAATGCCCTTCAGCAGTCATCTGAAATAAGAGAATTATCATTGTATTTCCTGACTAAATCCGATTCGTAATACAATTCTTGTGTTTTAGCTCTTACATTTTAAAAATGATCTTACCTTAAGGGAAGATTTATTGATTTCATTATTGTCCCTATTGATCATCATCACTATAAACAAATACTCACTACTTTCTTGTTGAAGAGAACAGGTTTTGTTAGGTAACAATTCTGAATATTAGGGATAATGAACAACTTTGGTGTAGAAGTCTTTGTTTTATCATCTGTTGGATTTTGAAATAATCCCTAGAATTAATGGGAAATTACTACAGTGAAATATATTTGAAATCCAATTGGTCTTCAAATAGTAACAGTAAACCTAAGAGGTTTTTGAGTCCATGCCCTGTTCCTAGATACATATTGGTATTAAAGTGAACCTTCCTAGCAGCATGTATGCTTTGCCTGGCCCTGCCAGATTGCCAGTGGGTAGGAATCAGGCTTGGGAGGGCCAAGACCACAGGCAAGTGAGGGACTTAAGCTGTTAGGATTTGTTGACCAAAGATGTTTGCAGAGATCAAAACTGAAAGGCATGGAATGAAAAAATGTACTCTCTAAAAACAACCTCAGTACCATTTCTCAGGTCTAGACCCTTACTTAAGGAAACTGACTCAGCTGAGAAGAGATTTATAGATATGTAATTGTATCAGATTTCTATGTATGTAATTGTATCAGATTTCTATGTATGTAATTGTATCATAAATAACAGAACACAAAATAAGTGATAATTCACTCAGTTCAAATATAGAGATCAACTTTGTGTTATGCAGTATAGTAGGAGCTAAATATACAAGGTTGAATGGTGTGAATATCTACACTCGTGTACAGGACAGAATATTTAAAGAAGCAAACTATTATGATGGTTGAAGTAGAGGTGCTTGGGTTCAACTTCTGTTTCTAGCACTTGCTAGTTCATGATTCAGAGTAAGTTATTTTCATTTTTATGCCTCAGTTTTCCCCACTATGGTAATACTATTATTTGCTTCATAGATCTGTCATTTAAGACATTTGTATGGTAAGCACTTAGAATAACACCCACTACTTACTATGCACTAAAGGCATCCTGTTAGGATTACCAAATGTCTTTAGAATAGTGATGCCCCAAGTAGGTTTTGTGCTGAGCTATATAAAATAATATATTGGGATATATGTTGAAGGAAAATATTAAACTTAGATTCTAACTTCTGAATAAAACAAGCTTCATGAACATTAGCATGTAAGTTGAAATGATTGTCCTTATTCAATAGTATGCCAGAAAACAGTGTCACGAGAGAAGACAGCCCAGAGGACTGAAAGTGTGTCCCTATTTGTGTTTCTTGTGCACAGAAATACATTGCATTTGACCTATACTTGGATAAGTGTACTGAGGTTTAGTTTTCAAAATTTATTTTATAAATTTTTACTTTGATGTTTCAAACTGAAAACAAAGGGCAAGAATTTGCTCTATATACTTTACTAATTATATACATTTTCTCCTAACTTACTTTATCACTTTCACTATATGTATACCTGCATATTTTTCGGAATCATCTGAAATATCTCACTATGCCCTGTTATCCCCTTAATATGTCACCATGTGTTATGGAAAAACAAGGCCATTCTCTTACTTTACCACATCACAATGATGGAAACAGGAAAATTAAAGCTTGATATTACCAATGTTCCCCATTCCAGAATGCAGTCCAGGCTCACTAACTGCATAGAGTTTTTAGGCCTCTTTGGTTTCCTGTAATCTGAAACATTTTGTTGGCTTTGCTCAGTTTCTCTTGAAATTTCTGGTTTTGATGTTATTTTGAGAAGTCACCTACATTTTGGGCTTATCTATTTCCTCATGTTAAATTCAGATTTGCATGTTGGGTGTGGATACAACAGAAATCATAAATGAGTGTCTCCTGTACCGTGGCTAAAGACACTTTGTGTTGGTTTGTCCTCTGGTGATGTTAAATTTGATCACGTTGTTAAGGATATGTATATCCAGTTTCTCCACTTTAACTTTCCCCTTTCTGATTAAATAAATTTGAGGAAACTCACCTAATGAATTTCAGAAAAAGTTGCCTGCCAATGGGAAAATACAGATCCTGTTTGTTATGAAAAGAATAGATGATTTAATCCAAAGAAGATAAACTAAAGTCACTTCTTTATCACTGATTGGGTGGCACATTTGAAAACATTTCTGATGGTCTGAAGAGACAAATATTAAAATGTAGAGTATGATAGGTTTACTATATAGTTGAAGGAAAGTACTTGTTAAAATTGTCAGTGTTTATGGTATTTGCTAGATAAGGCTTAAGTACTGAAATAAGGCTAATTTGTGATTCAATAAAGGGAAGATATACCAGGAACACCCTGTCATTAGTAAATGACTTAGAGTGAATAAAATTTTATCAGAAAACCATGCTACCTGATGGAACAACAGCTTTGATTGCAGTAAAAATATGATTTTAAGTTCTAAATAAGGTTTACAGGGGAGCCCATGTGTGAAATTATTAATTATACAATTTATAGGTAACATTTCAATGAACAAGTTGAAGCTCTTGGTGCACAAGCTGCAAGATGCCATCAATATAATAAATTTTACAAATTTATTCCTTTAAATATACTTGTTTATAATATGTAATGAGATGTGTGGTTACCATGAAAATAATTTGTATCACACAGTGATTCCTGGGTTACCATATGGCAAAATACTTTGACTTATCCAACTTAAATAATGTATGTGTTATTTAAAAGATGTGTGTTCTATATAGGCTGATATTTTGTGTGGCAACAAATGGCTGTTTCATTTGTGTTGATGAATAAAAATTAAATACAAAATACTTTTTCAAGTGAGATGAATTTTCCCCCTAAAATAATAAAATAATATCCAAACAAAACAAAACCCCACACCTGAGGCATGGAAAACAAACCAAAAAAAAAAAAAAATCAATACAGCCAACACCAACCCATGAAGTAGAGTTAAAAATGTGAATAAATTTATCATAATTAAATTTGTCATAATCATTAACAAATAGAAAATTTTCTAATGCATGATCTAGTTGAGTGTTCTAGGGTATCTTGAGCACAATTGTCTGAATATAAAAAATGTAGACAGTACAACAAGGCTTCCATTTAGCTGAGTATCAGAGCAACTGCTGAACATCAGAAGTAGAAATTGGGGTGGGCATTTGGCCTAGTGGTTAAGACTCCAGTGACCCATTTCAGAGTATGTGGGTTCAGTCTCAGGTCTTCAGCTCCTGATTCCAGCTTTCGGCTAATGCAGACCCTGGGAGACAGTAAAAATGGCTGAAGTAATTGGTTCTCTGATGGCTGGGTTTCCAGCTATTGACTTTGGCCTGGATCAGCCCCAGTCTTTTCAGGCATTTGAGGGGAGCAGCAGATTACAGCTTTCTCTGTCTTCTCTCTCTTTCTCTCTCGCTCTCGCTCTCACTCTGTGTGTGTGTGTGTGTCTTTAAAGAGAGACCCAAAAAGGATCAATAATACAAAGAAATCAATTTTAAAAAGAATAGGAATTTGTTAATGGAATAATTGGTGGATTGTACATGGGTTGGGGTGCAGAATAAAATGATTTACTGAATGTAGCCAAAGGTGAGTTTTTTTTTTTCCATCTGTGCTCAAAGATGAATCAAGGATTGAACCCATTTACTCTGACGTGAGTCACCAGCATCTTAACCTCTAGGCCGGATACCCACTTTAATTTTGTTCTTTTTGAGTCATCATCCTCAAGTATGCAACCATTGAATTGCTGAAGAAATAAACTGAACTTGGGTCCAGATCTCTAAGTCACTGTGTTATAGAGTATTTTTTGGAAAATAGAATGTCATAAACCTTCAATCACAGTGATTTCTCTTTGGAGCAAAATGGTTAATGATAATAACTTTCAAATCTTACATGAGTACTCACCATTTCAATTGATTTTCTTGAGTGTTTTCTAAGAATATTAATAGAGGTGTGTTTATAACTTAGGGTAGGATTGTGTAAACCATTTTTTTTTATTTGCATGATTTAATGTTCCAAATGGAACCAGGTTTCTAGATCAGGTAGTCGGCTTAAGTGTGGTAGTTGAGGTCATCTTACAGATGGATGTTAAAGTACAAAAGCATGTGAGATTTGGGAGGTAGCCTCTTACCATTAAGGTAAAAATGGCTGCATATAAATCAGATTCCCTAGAATGAAGTGAGGAATCAGTCCACAAACTCCTCATGCTTGGTTTCGTCTTTTGACATTGGACCATGGAAAGTCTTAGCCTTAAGGAGCTAAAGTCTCAACAATTATTTACCTTCTGTAGGCTCCTATTTACTGGTGGAGGTTGGGATGAATGAAGGGCATCCAGGATACTTGTTCTCATGTGACTTGATATGTAAGGAGATAAGATAAACAAGAAAAACAAGTGACAACTGTGTATAGTTTATGCCAAAGACCTTAATGGGTAGCGCAGATGGTGGCAGATGAGTTCAGAGAGAAAGCAGATTTTTTACCAACTAGAAAGCTTGTGTATTTTCCAACCTTATTTCCTGCCATTCTCATCATGGTTTCAGGTTTTTACTGTCCAAAGCTTTTTTGAACCCTATTATCCTATCTTGGAATGCTCTTGGGACATATGGCATTTTTCATTGTTAAGTCTTAGCTCAAATGGCTCCTTTTCAGAGATGTGTCTACTACTGCAAGGAGCAATCATTCTGCTCAAATCTGTTTTCTATTCCTTCTCTCCATGACAATTTTTGTAATTTGTTATTGCATATTGTTTTCTTGGTTATTTACTCTCCTTCTCCTACCTTTAACTGGAACATGAAGTTATAGTAAAAAAAAAATGCACTATTTTATACTTAGGTATAACTAGTATACCCAGGAAGTATAACATGGCATAGAAGCAGCAAATATTTATACAACAAAAAATGGAAGTAAGAATGAGAATTACACTTGGGAGTATGGGTGGCAACTGGATAAATGATAAACAGAGACATCTGAGGTTGGAGAAGCGAAGGTTTCAAAAAAAATATGGAGCTGGAGTGGTGTAAGATATGTTTGAGAATCAGGTAAGAATGATTTAGACTGGGAGGAAAACCTGATAAATTTAAAAGCTCTGTAGGACATGAAATAGGAAGTTCCAGCTGGACTGTGGGAGGTTTTGAATGCCAGCCTAAACAAAGCAGTGGGCTGCTTGGACTTTATCCTGCATGTGGTCAACAGGGAGTCACTAAACTTTGGTGGAAACTAAATTAGAAAGCTTAACCTGATGTGTCCCTTGGCACTGAGTAACTGAACACATTACAGAAATCCTAACCAACAGGGAGTTATAGAGATTTTTGTCCAGCCAGTGCTGGAAAGAGCATTGGCCAAATTCATGTGGAAGTGGGGAAGAGATCTGCCTACTTTTAGGTAGGTCTCTATTTTCAGTGAGTGTTCAAGTCGTTCTGGATAGAGAGGTGGTGGGTGGTGTACTTTGAAATCCAGGTTGCAGGTCCCTATTTCTTTTTCTCTAAATGTAGCCTGCTTTAAAAGGCATTGCAAGGACTCTAGATCATCATCTCTCTAAAAATTTGAATTTTGTCACTTATTTGGGATGGCAGACAAGAATAACTTTCTCATTTTCAACTTCTAAGACTATAGAAAGGACAGACTAATATACCCCCTTGTGAGGAAGAGAGACAAGATCATCAGAAATTCAGTAGTACGTTCTCATACAACAATCTTTATCACCAGTATTCACTGCCATCTCTTCCGCAAAGATAGAATAATAGGCTCTATAGGAATGTCCCATTTCATTCTTATCTAAGGAATCTACAGCAGAATTAGTAATTATGATAGTGCTATCAGTACTGGTGAATCTTTCAAAGAGAGGTCTATCATTTGTGTATTTTTGAATGTCGGTCTATCACAAGCCAGAAATGTTTCCCTAGGACAAGATTATTATTTTTATTTTTTTTTTGGACAGGCAGTTAGAGAGATAGGCCTTCCTTCCGTTGGTTCATCCCCCAAATGGCCACCACAGCCAGTGCACTGGGCCGATCCAAAACCAGGAGCCAGGCGCTTCCTCCTGGTCTCCCATGCAGGTGCAGGGCCCAAGGACCTGGGCCATCCTCCACTGCCTTCCTGGGCCACAGCAGAGAGCTGGACTGGAAAAGGAGCAACCAGGACAGACTGGTGCCCCAACCGGGACTAGAACCCATGGTGCCAGCGCTGCAGGTGGAGAATTAGCCAAGTGAGCCGTGGCGCCGGCCTCCCTAGGACAAGATTACCTGTGGGTTTATATGCAATTTTTAAAAATTTATTTATTTTTTTGCCAGGCAGTGCTAGACAGTGAGTGAGTGAGAGAGACAGAGAGAGAGAAAGAGAAAGGTCTTCCTTCCGTTGGTTCACTCCCCTAATGGCCGCTACTGCCGGCGCTGTGCCTATCCAAAGCCAGGAGCCGGGTACTTCCTCCAGGTCTCCCATGTGGGTGCAGGACCCAAGCACTTGGGCCATCCTCCTCTGCCCTCCCGGGCCACAGTAGAGAGCTGGACTGGAAGAGGAGCAACCGGGACAGAATCCGGCGCCGCAGCTGGGACTAGAACCTGAGTGCCGTCACCACAGGCAGAGGATTAGCCAAGTGAGCCACGGTGCTGGCCTTATATGCAGTTTTAAGCTAGATTTCCGTACTTTTCTGTACCTTCCTAGTCCCCAACTTAGCATTTTCTAAATTACTTGTTATAAAAATGGACGACTATCATCTCTGTAAATTGTTTTATAACTTGTGTCTTTAAGATCTTAATATCATGTAGTCTGTTTTGGTTCTCTATAGTCTGCTCTTGGGTTAGTCCTTGAGTGAAGTGGGGTGTGACCCTGAAAGTGTGACCCATTTGGACACTGTGGGCCTTGGGTTCCTCTCCTGTCAACTGGAGGAACTGGAATGGATGACTCCTAGGATACCTTCCTCTCATGAGGTTCCACAGTTTGGGGGACCAAAACCTCCTACATTCTTTTAACAGTGCTTCGAAAAGAGGATTCTCTGTGGTGGTGGAAGTGAAATCTAATGACCTCTAAGGTCCTTTCAATTTCCAAATTCTGACTAAATGGGTTCTGCAGATTCTCACGGATAATAGCTACTTAAAGACATTGACATCATCCACTTATCCATGCTAGTAAAACTATTCATTTTAAAGCTTATAAATATTTCAGAAAACACACCAGAATTCCATCTCTCCATCCCTGCTTAGATCATCCTTAGGTAATGGTCTCCATAAGGTCCCCATGACCTCTGTGCAAAGCAAGTTATCCAGGGGTGGTGAATTCTGTCCTAGAAACTCAAGGTTACCCAATTGGCATTTAGATCTTTCATGGCCTTGTGTCCCTGAACAAATTGACATAACCTCTTGAACATTTTACCAAGTAGAACATAGAACATGAAATGTTACCTGTTGAGTGAAACGAAGATACACTTGGACCAGAAGCAGTGAGAAAACTCTGGACTGTGGTACTTTCTTCTTTGGAATGATACCTAGAGGACCAGGCTTGCTCCCTAAGTTGTGTGCAAGTTGTAAAAGTTGCAGTCATGTCATAGGCACCACAAAAGTACTGACTATCACAAGGCTGGCATGTGGGCACCAGTCGTAACATTTGTGGTTATGTTGTTTGTACTTGGATGTTCTATGTTCTACCTTAGTTTCCACCAAATTCTGACCACCTTCACTAGAAGGTATGTGAGTTCCTTGGGTAAATTTACTTTTGTATCACTATTTCATTGCTTACCTCAGTACCAGCACATAGGATCATCTCAATAAATAGATTATTATTAATTTTAATGATAAATGTGTAAGCAAATAAAATATGATAAACTACTTAGTAGGCATTTGCTCTATGCAGGTTATAGGGCTAAGTGGGGCTAAGTTTATAGAAAATATGCATTTGGCCTTCTAATTCCTTTTTTCCATGAACTTTTTGAAGTCCCTTCTATATCAAGAACTAGAGCAGTCTAGTCAGCAAGATGGCAATCATATAAACAAATACAAAGGTGTACCTGCTGTGATGCAGAAGTTAAAGATTTTGTAAGGGGGGCCGGAGCAGTGGCTCACTAGGTTAATCCTCTGCCTGCAGTGCCGGCATCCCATATGGGTGCCAGGTTCTAGTCTTGGTTGCTCTTCTTCCAGTCTAGCTCTCTGCTGTGGCCCAGGAAGGCAGTAGAGGATGGCCCAAGTGCTTGGGCGCCTGCACCCGCGTCGGAGACCAGGAAGAAGTACCTGGCTCCTGGCTTTGGATTGGCATAGCTCCAGCCGTGGCGGCCAATTAGGGGGTGAACCAACAAAAGGAAGCCCTTTCTCTCTCTCTCTCACTCTCTCTCTCTCTCTGTCTCTCTCACTGTCTCACTCTGTCAAATAAATAAAAAAAAGAGTTTGTAAGGTGATGAACCTCTGAAGGATGAGTAGGAGTTAGTGAGGTGAAGAGCAACAGATATGGGCAAGTTTCAATGTCCTGCGACAGGGAGCAGGATTCATTTAAGCCTTTGTATAGTGAAGCAGGGGAATCTTCTTGGCCCCTGGGGAGGCTGGAGGTATCAGCAGTAGCCAGACTATGAGGTTTCTATAAGCCCGATAAAGAGGGGTGATATTAATCTAAAGGACAATGAAAAATATTTAATATTTGAGGGATTTTAAGTAGGGCAATGACAATCAGATTTGAATTTTGGAAACAAAACCCTGGATCCAGGCAGTAAACTAGTTTAGGAAGCACCAGAGTACATGTGGGAGTAATTAGAAAGTCATTTACTCCTCTGGGTGGTGATACAGTTAAGGAGCTGATGCTTTTGTTGGTGGTAATGGTAGCTACTCAGAAGAAGATACTGTCTAGTGGCCACTTCATCAGTGTGGTGATAGATTTGAGGGTGAGGGTTTCATCATTAGGCTTCTGGTTTGCCTAAACAGTAGATGATGAGATACAGAACAGTGTCAGAGGACTTCGTTCGTGTGTGTGTGTGTGTCTTAAGTGATAATGCTGTCTAAAGAGGAAGAATTTCATTAGTTAACCTATGTGCTCATATATTTACACAATGCATGTATATATTTACATATAAATATAATGTCTCCTTAATTATCTTAAGAGCTCTTTGGGTCCAAGAAATGGGGAGCACTTTTACTTCTGCCTGTGACCCCAGAGCTTAGTTCATAGGTTGGTTTGTTCAACAGTGTGACTTTCCTTAAATTAAAAAGCAAACAAAACCTTAAAATTTAAACACAGCAATATAAAACACTTCAAAGACATAGTAAAAGAGTCAAGGAAATATACACAGAGACAACATTAGTATCATTTTTGATCATTTAAACTGCCAAAGCTTAATCCAAGCTTGACATTATTTTTCAACTCCATAATAAAGTCTTTTAAAATACTATCTGGAATCCCTATTCAGGAGTCAGAACTAATTGCCAGGGTTGGAGTTTGTTCTGAATGATCTTCTTCCATACCCATTTTCAGCTTGTGACCTTCAGATGCTCTGAAGATGGCTTAAGACTGCATTTTGTTGGTTTTGCAACTTGTCTGCGTTCTCCTGTCTGGAAATTGTTCAGAAGCCCTTGACCACTACCGATCCTATTTGCTTCTCCTGTCCTTCTCCACCAGCTAGGAATGAACGGAAGCCTGCATTCCTTTCTCACTCTCCTCTCTTGAGTTGTCCTTTCCATTCTTCCATGAGGAAGAAAGGAAGAAATGGTGACCAGCAGATAAAGAACAAACCGCTGTTACATAGCAGGTGAATCTGTTGACTGCAGCGCCGGCATCCCATATGGGTGCCGCTTTGAATCTCGGCTACTCCGCTTCCGATCCAGTTCTCTGCTATGGCCTGGGAAAGCAGTAGAAGATGGCCCGGGTCCTTGGACCCCTGCACCCACGTGGGAGACCCAGAAGAGGCTCCTGGCTCCAGATCGGCGCAGCTCTGGCCATTGTGGCCAATTCGTGGAGTGAACCAGCAGATGGACCTCTATCTCTCTCTGCCTCTCCTTCTAACTCTGACTTTGAAATAAATAAATAAATAAATCTGAAAAAAAAAAAAAAACCCTGACATTTTCTGGATAGATATTCTATGTTGGTCAGCTTTTTATCCTTTTATGAAGATACTATTTTGATTCCTCCCATCAGAAATTGCTTTAGGTCCCCCCTTTCTCTCTCTTCTATTCCTAACATGTGCAGATTGTCATAAGGTATTACATATACAGGATCAGTATCCCATTGTAATCTTTATCATTCATTTACTAATGCATCATGGCCACAGGGACAGTCACATGCAGTCCTTCCTCTTGTACATGTGTTCATTAAAAGGACCTGTCAATACTGATGGAGAGAGAGGTTCTTTGAGAAGAAAGGAACTGATTTTGAAAATCATTGAGGGTAATCAGGGGGACAGTGCTGTTGTTAGAAATGGCTTTTTATGCCTAAGGAGATGAGAACATCTTCCCGAGAGCTGTCAGATGATGGATAATTTGAAAACCCTTGAAATTATTTATTGGAAACAGCCACTAAAAACTCAGCCACAGTTTGCAGCTTGACAAGACAGGGTTGTTTCATATTTTAAACATTCAAAGGAAACCACAGGAAAGCTGTCATTAAGAGATCAGTGAATCAAGCCAATGAGTGAGATAATTGTTCACTAAAGAAGAGGCAGTTGAATTTTTAATGTTTCCTCAGTGTTAGAGGGATGAGGAGGGGATGGATTGTTGCTTCCTTCCTGAGTGAGCTGACTGGTGAAAGCAGAACTTGGGTGATACGAAGCAGAAGAAAAATATCTTTGGGAAAATGGAAAGATTAAAACAATTCTGGATCATTTTTCTCACAATGGTGCCAGATACAGCTGTGATAATCTGTTGGTGTTTATTTCCTGTTCCAATCAAAATGAAGAGTTGTAGGGGACAGATTCCATGTAAGTTGCTGCCTCACAGAGGTAACCAGTGTTGAGCGCCACTAATTGAAGGAGCTGTGGTTGTCTGAGTGGAACCTGAGGCAACTCAGGATGGTGAAATTATAAAACAAAGCAGCAGTGGCAGAAAGCACTACAGAGAAATAATAACAGGAGGAGACATAGAGGCTCTTGCCTTGCTGTAGAAAAATCTGTCCTGGTGTTTGCTGTGAGGCTTCCATGGCAATGAAGTAGTGTTGGGATGTGTTTCCCCATCTGAGTTCAGAACGAATGGAAAAAGAATTCAGGATCAGATGAGGATATTTATAAGTTTTAGCTTTAATTCAGGTAAGTCTCGGGAGAATGTGCCTCACTCAGATGACACAGGCTTTGCTTAGCTTATGTCCTTGGACTTCACTGCTTTCAGGAGGAATCCTGAAAGGTGTAGCCTTTCATGCTGAGCTTATAACAGGTCAGAGTAGACCAGGGTATCCAAAGGAAGGCAGCGTTCCAAAAGAGATGGGGGAGGGTCAGTTGAACTCTGCCCATCTGTAAAACACCCAGCTCGGTTAGTATGGAGGAAGGGTCATGGAGGCCAGGAACGTTCCTCCAAAAGAGGTCACTCTATACAGAAATATGTGGAGGGTGCTAGGAAGGATAGTGATTGCCCCAAATGTGGCTCAGGCAATAAGTCATGCTACATAGTGCATCATTGGTGAAACTGTGTGCTTTCCACACTGCATCTTTGACCTGGTGCTCAGAAAATCATCCTGATTGATTTCACATGTATTTGTTAGAGAACTCCTTGAAGATAAAAACTGTTCTCTTTCAAGTTTGGTGTACAGCAAAGCACATCACAGCTTGGGGTGTTTGGTGTCTCAGTAGATACTAGTTCTGTGTTGGACAGGGGTTCCGAGGCTGTGGACGGGAAGCTTTGTCTCGATAGTTTCACTGGCATTTAGAATTTGGACATCACTGCTTAGTAAGCAAAGGGACTGAGGAAGTCCTCATTGTTGCTTGAAATGACCAATTTACCTTAGAGTCCCAGGGGTGACTGCTAGAAGAGATGGGGTTTGCAGGTTCATTTTGAGGTTATAGACAGCATTAATGGCAGATGCTAAGGCCCAAAATCCAGTTTGATATGTGTCTTAAAAGAAATGTCTATGTGTAACCTATTGTTGAAGAAGATTAATGCTTGAGATGCAGCATACTTGGTTGCTGACTGAGCCTAGTGATAGAGAATCAGAGGCCCTGATGAATCAGAAGCAACTTATGCCTGCGTGGCAGTAAGTGAGGCAAACGTCGGTGATTGCTGGGAGAAGGTGAGTGGCATGATGAGAGGCAGCAGAGCTGTGCACTGCTCCATTCCTCACCTGGAGACAGCACAGGGCACTAGTTAGGAACACAGCGTTTGAGGCCAGGCTTCCCCATGGATCATTCGCACCTCTTTCACTGGCTCTCTATGGCCTGCCCATAGAGTGATCTCTGTAGTTTCTGCATGTGTGAAAGCTGATAGTAAGATCTATTTCATGGGATGCAGCAGGAGAATTAGATGCATGTAGACATGGAGGGACTTCAAAAAGTTTGTGTAAAACAGAATTAAAAGATACGTTTCTTTTTGGTGAAAAGTATTTAAGTTTCTTTTGTGTGGTAGGAAGGAATAGACTGAAAGATCTTCCAGCACTGGTTCACTGCCTAAATGGCTTCATGGCCATGGCTGGACCAAGTGAAAGCCAG